TAAGTTTTGTTTTGTAGAGACGAGGTGTTACTATATTGCTTGGGTCAGTTTTGAACTTCCAGGTTCGAAGGATTCTCCCACCTTGGCCTCCTGAGTAGCTGGGACTATAGGTGCATGCCACCAAGCCCACGTAATTTTTTTTTTTGAAACAGAGTCTCGCAGTGTTGCAATCTCAGCTCACTGCAACTTCCACCTCTCAGGTTCAAGTAATTCTCCTGCATCAGCCTCTGGAGTAGCTAGGATTTCAGGTGTGCACCACCACTGCCAGCTATTTTTGTCCGACCCCATGGAGGCTTGCTCTGTTGCCCAGACTGGAGTGCAGTGGCACGATCTTGGCTCACTGCAACCTCCACCTCCCGGGTTCAAGCAGTTCTCCCACCTCAGCCTCCTGAGTAGCTGGGATTACAGCCACCTGCCACCTTGCCCGGCGAATTTTTATATTTTTAGTAGAGATGGGGTCTTGCCATGTTGGCCAGGCTGGTCTCGAACTCCTGACCTCAGGTGATCCACCCACCTCGCCCCCCCAAAGTGTTGGGATTACAGGTGTGAGCCACTGTGCCCAGTCCTAATTTTTGTATCTTTTTGTAGAGATGGGGTTTCGTCCTGTTGCCTAGGCTGGTCTGGATCTCCTGGGCTCAAGCTGTCCGCCTGCCTCGGCCTCCCAAAGTGCTGGGATTACAGGCGTGAGCCACCGTACCCAGCCTTAGTTGTTGTTCTCCTATTACTGAACATTTGGCTTATTTCCAGTTTTTGGCTGCTGCAAATAAAGCTGCTATGAACATTCATGTATAGGTCTTTTGGTGTACTTAAGCTCTCATTTCTCTTGGGTAATTACCTAGGAGAAACATCGTTGGTTCATGTAGGGGAAGAAACTTGTCACAGAAATTTTACTTGAGTGGATTTTGCCGAACAGATTCCCAAAGTGGTTGGACCGATTTTTCACTTCCTCTGTTAATGTATGAGAACTCCAGTTGGTCTGTGTTCTTTCAGTCTTTTAAATTTTAGCTATTATGGTACCTTAAGTTTAATGCTTCATTTGGGTAGTATGAAGGCTAGGGTGATCAACTGTCCTCATTTGCTGGGGACTGAGGGGTTCTCTAAATGGGGGACTTTGAGCTTTAAAACCGGGAGGCACCCCTAATGAGGTTTTTAGGTGAGTTAGCAGGATGTGAAGGGAAAAGCAGTAAATTCCCACAGTCAAACCAAGCCCAAGTACAGATACCTAGGCTATCCTTATCCAGAGATGTGTTCTCTAATTACCAAAGACAGGGGCCCGGCCATCCACTCCCTTTCCCTTCTGGTGTCCGTGCAAACTGATTTCTTTGGAGAAGCCTCTGCTGGCTCATCAAGCTACGTGAATTTCCTCCGTCATGCTTCCAGAGTATGCCGCATAATTTTATGGTACTCACTACATCTAAAGGTATATATTCTTGCCTGGAATCCGGGGTGGACTGTAATTCAGGGTAGGACTTTTATGTCTTCCTCATAGATAGCCCCAGAACACGTTGGTCGGCACATCAATAAATTTCCTTTTTTTTTTTTTTTGGCTGGAGGTAGGGTGGAAGGGAGGACACAGATCCTTGTTGAAACATGTGGCTAGGCAGATTGTTAGATGTACAAGCCATGAAAGTTTAGTTTTTACCCTAATGGTGGTTGGTTGGAAGTTATTGAGGCCTTTTTATCAAAACTGGAGAAATATAAATTGTGTTTTAGGAAGCTGCTTGCTGGGGTGTTAATGAATTAGAGGATGGATGGTGCTCTGTTGCTGCTAGATAACTTGGTTCTGATTCTTTGTTTTAAAATTAATAGCAAGTGAAAAATAGTACAGTGGCATGTTGAGACCATATAAAATTCCAGATGGACTTGGAATTTATTATAGTATTGGGCAGCTTTTGCCAGATGCAGTGTTCTTTGAATAAATGTAAAGCAGAAATAGCTTAAATTTCTGATGGGATCCTGATTTGCTATCGAATAACTTATGAGTCCTTGTATCTCAACACTGTGAAAATAAAATTTCTGTGATAAATTTCTTAAAGTCAGTAAAGTAAAAAACTCTTACTTAGCCAGTTTTTGGTTTTCATTTAATATATACTTTTAGGTAAGATTTCTTTTGCATTTAGCTCAGCAGTTCCTAAAATTCTTTCCAGGGCGTCTTTGAGGTCAGCACAATTTTCTTTTTTTCTTTTTTTTTTGAAACAGAGTTTCACTCTTGTCACCCAGGCTGGAGTGCAATGGCGTGATCTTGGCTTACTGCAGCCTCTGTCTCCTGGGTTCAAGCAATTCTCCTGCCTCAGCCTCCAGAGTAGCTGAGATTACAGGCACCTGCCACTACGCCCAGCTAATATTTTGTACTTTTAGTAGAGACGGGGTTTCACCATGTTGGCCAGGCTGGTCTCAAACTCCTGACCTCAGGTGATCTGCCCGTCTCGGCCTCCCAAAGTGCTGGGATTACAGGCATGAGCGAGCCACTGCGCCCGGCCTCAAGTGTGGCTCTTAAGTTTAGTTTCTCTCCCACTTTGTGTTAAATCTTGAAAGAAGAATTTTGAAAAGCACTAGAATGAAATGTGAAAAATAAAGCCCCTTTTACAGTAACTTGTTGTTTATGTTGTGCTGTGTTTTATGCTGTAACTTTTTGAGTCTATCCTTGCAGCTGCTGAAGTTAGTGTTGCTTGATAAATCTTACTTGGTCTGCTCTGAATGTTTCTTGAGGTTCACTTTTACCCCACAAGTAAAATAGGGTGGATACAAAGATAAGTGACCTGTCATTGTTCTCAAGGGATGCAGTGAAATCAGATAACTGTAGAGTAGAGCAAGGCCTATTGTGAAGTACCTTAAGCATATATGGGTGCTGCTTTGTAGCAAAGAGGAGTCTCCCCCTGGAGATGAGCGAGAGTCTCATGGATCAGACTCTGGCTCAGAGGCATTGTTCAACCTTATTTATTTATTTATTTCAAGGTAGGGTCTTGCTGTATTGCCCAGGCTGGAGTGCAATGGTGCGATCTCGGCTCAGCACCCTCCGCCTCCTGGGCTCAAGTGATCCTCTTACATCAGTCTCTAAGTAGCTGGGACCACGGGCTTGGCTACTTTTTGTATTTTTTGTAGAGACGTTGCCCAGGTTGGTCTTGAACTCCTGTGCTCAAGCGATCCGCTTGCCTTAGCCTCCCAAAGTGCTGGGATTGCAGGCATAAGCCATCATACCTGGCCTGTCCAACTTTAAATTTATCTTCTGAATTCTCTTTACTCTTCATCCACACTAATAGTCGATTTATCTCACACTAAGGTTTACAGATTACTTGAGCTCAGGAGTTCGAGGTCAGCCTGGGCAACATGGTGAAACCCTGTCTCTACTAAAAATACAAAAATTAGCCAGGTGTGTTGGCACATGCCTGTAATCCCAGCTACTCAGGAGGCTGAGGCAGGAGAATCACTTGAACCCAGGAGATGGAGGTTGCAGTGAGCCGAGATTGTGCCACTGCACTCCAGCCTGGGTGACAGAGCGAGACTCCGTCTAAAAAATAATTATACAAATACATAAATGAAATTTGAAATTTAACTGGTAAATTTTAAAAAGTGGTTTTCATTAGTGATCTACATGAAGAGATGCCATTGTGGTGATTTTTGTCTTTGGTTAGGTTGGATTTCAGTGATTTTGGTCCTTTTTACGGTGAACCAAGGGATCATATAAGAATGTAAGATTTACTGTTACTGTTGCAGAGCTGGTTGCTGTTTTAGCTCTGTAGGGTATGCATTAGAATTCAGTTAGCTGTGTCTTATATAACAACAATTTGTCAAATCCTAATTAGGTAAAGAGTATAATTTTGTATGTGATATTTTCTAGTGCTAATAGTGCCAATGCAGCAGTAACTTTATTGATCTTCACTGGTGAAATGTTATTAGACCTGCAAGTAAATGGCCCTTTTAGTGCTATATTTCTCTTTGAGTAGTTCATTAAAAAGAACATCCAAAGAATTTTAAATTGTTTTATTCTTGCTTTGAGCTAGGTGAGTCTTTTTCTAAGTTACTGTTTAAGGTTCATTTTCAATTCAGTTTTAAAAGTTTGAAAGTAGAAAAGATCTGATACTCCATTCATTACCCTCATGCTATTCATAAAGAACTGCTTCAGCAAGGGCATTATATTTGATAAAGTCCCTTCTGTGAGGCTGGGCGTGGTGGCTCATGCCTGTAATCCTGGCACTTTGAGAGGCCAAAGTGAGCAGATTACTTGAGCCCAGAAGTTCAAGACCAACATGGTGTAACCCCGTCTCTACTAAAAATACATAAAATTAGCCAGGTGTGGTGATGTACGCCTGTAATCGCAGCTACTCTTGAGGCTAAGGCATAAGAATTGCTTGAACCTGTGTGGTGGAGGTTGCAGTGAGCTGAGATTATACCACTGCCCTCCAGCCTGGGCAACAGAGCAAACTCTATCTCCAAAAAAAAGTGAATTAATTTTTAAATTGATATGTAATACTTGTGTATATTTTTGGGGTACCATCTGCCATTTTTAAGTTGGAGTTTTTGTTCCTTTGAGGCCCTGATAATTTTATGGTTATAGTTGAACTGACAAGATAAATGTTTAATTATTATTATTATTTTTTGAGACGGAATCTTGCTCTTTCACCCAGGCTTGTGTGTAGTGGTACAATCTTGGCTGCAACCTCCACCCCCTGGGTTCAAGCAATTCTGCTTCAGCTTCCCGAGCAGCTGGGATTACAGGCGCCCGCCATCATGCCCGGCTAATTTTTGTATTTTTAGTAGAGATGGGGTTTTGCCTTGTTGGCCAGACTGGTCTCGAACTCCTGACCTCAGGTGATCCATCCGCCTCAGCTTCCCAAACTGCTTAGGATTACAAGCGTGAGCCACTGCACCCAGCAAATGTTTAAATTTAAAATTGATTAGTTTGAAGAAAATACTGAATGAAATGTTGATTTGATCTGTTTCAATATCCAAACAGATAATGTGCTTTGTACTAATAAATTCTTTGAATTTTATTTGTGTAGAAGAAATTGAGGAAGAATCTGAAACAACGGTTGAGGCTGACTTGACTGATAAGCAGAAACATCAGTTGAAACATAGGGAACTCTTTTTGTCACGCCAGTATGAATCTCTGCCCGCAACACATATCAGGTAAGAACTTTTTAGGAACTAAAGTACTCAGTACTACAGTGACCAAAAAACAAAAGACTTATTTGAAGCGTTTTCCAGACTCTTCTCAGGATCTTGCTTAAACTACTTTGCTAAAGGCTTCATAATGAAATTTTAGGTTGGAAATTTATAATGTATATTAGCATATTAAAGCCCCACAAAAGTTCTCCAGTAAAGTAACCATTTTAACTTTGTTTTAATACAGACTTTCCTGGCCAGGTGCAGTGGCTCACGCCTGTAATCCCAGCACTTTGGGAGGCCGAGGCGGATGTATATCATTTGAGGTTAGGAATTCGAGACCAGCCTGGCCAACATGGTGAAACCCCATCTCTACTAAAAATACAAAAAATTAGCTGGGTGTGGTGGTACGCGCCTGTAATCCCAGCTACTCAGGAGGCTGAAGCAGGAGAATTGCTTGAATCTAGGAAGCAGAGGTTGCTGTGTGCTGACATCGTGCCACTGCACTCCAGCCTGGATGACAGAGTGACGCTCTGTCTTTAAAAACAAACAACAACAACAACAAAAGGCCTTTCCTGATTGATTTGAATATCTTTTCAGAACGGTACAGAAGAGCATCCAGCAGACATCATTTTGGGAAATGCTGGTCTGCCAGGTTCTAAGAAAATTATATAGCCATTAGAAGCCAAAGGTTAGAACCTAAAGTCTGCTTCCCAGGCAGTTGACTCTTGACCTTATAGGATGTATGGCTTTTTGTTTCCTTTTGAGGATCACTGGGATGAAAACTTTATATTCTTTATTATTCCTTAATAACACCTGATGTATACATTGATAGCATACAAATGTGAAGAAAATAGTTGACTGATTTGGGCAATATCTCTGGTTCTCTAACATGGACCACCCTTCCGTTAATTAAATTCTTCTTCTACTGCAGAAAAAACAAAAAGTGAAAAAACCTAGCCCCTTGTTTGTTGTTTTGGCAATTGTTGAGGAAAAATGGTGGTTTTCTATGATCTACTGGTGGTGATTAAATTTAAGATATTGTTGAGCTGTTTTTCATTGTCATCTATAATCAGTGCATCTTAGAGGTATTACAAAATGTTTGAGCTCAAAAGATTCTGACCCTCGATCAGGAAAGCTTCAGGAGGAATTGCTACTTACTCAGCCTTCCAGAGGGTGTGAGGCACAAATAGAGGGCACAGGTGAGCATAGGGTGTATGAAAGCAACAGCATGTGACCAGGGTGAGGATGTGTGAGCAAGTGCAGTGTTTCACTCTCTTAGGTTAAAGAAATGCCTTCAACTTTTGTTCATAATCTGTATTTCTATTTCTTTTATCCAGCTCTGCTGGTCATAGTGGTCCTAAAAAAACTATATACATAGAAATAAAATGCAGTATTTCTTTTCTTTTTCTTTTTTTTTTTTTGAGACGAGTCTTGCTGTCCCGCCCAGGCTGGAGTGCAGTGATACGATCTCAGCTCACTGCAACCTCCGCCTCCTGGGTTCACGCCATTCTTCTGCCTCAGCCTCCTGAGTAGCTGGGAGTATAGGTGCCCACCACCATGCCGGCTAATTTTTTTTTTTTTGTATTTTTAGTAGAGACAGGGTTTCACCATGTTTGCCCGGATGGTCTCAATCTCCTGACCTTGTGACCTGTCCGCCTCAGCCTCCCAAAGTGCTGGAATTACAGGCGTGAGCCACCATGCCCAGCCAAAATGCATTATTTCAATAATTGCTTTTTCCTCTTTATCCCCCAATATTGTGATTGAATCTGAGTCTGTCTTTTTGGGTTCAGACAGGTTTGTAGACTTTTTTTTTTTTTTTTTTGAGGCGGAGTCTTGTTCTGTCACCAGGCTGGAATGCAGTGGCGTGATCTTGGCTCACTGCAACCTCCACCTTCTGGGTTCAAGCAGTTCTCCTGCCTCAGCCTCCCAGATAGCTGGGATTACAGGCACATGCCACTATGCCCAGCTAATTTTTTGTATTTTTTTTTAGTAGAGACAGGGTTTCACCATGTTGTCCAGGCTGGTCTCGAACTCCTGACCTCGTTATCCACCCACCTAGGCCTTCCAGAGTGCTGGGATTACAGGCGTGAGCCACCGTGCTCAGCTGAGGTTTGTAGACTTTCTAAAGCTCTGGTACTTACACATACATACACATGTACACACACACCCACACACACCAATTCCTGGTACCTTTGTGCACAACTCCTTTTTTATAGAAATGAACCCAGAGATCTTCTATGGCAGGAAGTGTGTGATAAAGATACAGAATTTATTTTTCTCCAGATCTTTTCAGAGATAACATGAGCCACTCCCTCACCCACATAGAAAACCTCATATCATTGTTTTTATTTGGTTTTGTTTGTTTTTGTTTTCTACATTGAGATGCAGTCTTTGGGAGGCCTAGGTGGGAGGAGGATTGCATGATACTGGGAGTTTGAGCCCAGCCTGGTCAATAGAGCAAGACCTTGTCTCTACCAAAAATATAAAAATTAGCCAAGTATGGTGGTGTGTGCCTGTGGTCCCAGCTAATTGGGAGGCTGAGGTGGGAGGATTGCTTAAGCCCAGGAGTTTCAGGCTGCTGTGAGCCACAGTTATACCACCGCACCCTAGCCTGAGGGACAGAGTGAGACCCTATGTGAAATAAATAATAAATAGGTGAGATAGATAAATAGTAGATAGATAGAGAGATATAGAGCTGGCTATGTTGCCCAGGCTGGTCATGAGCTCCAGCAATCCTCTTGCCTCAGTCTCCTGAATGGCTGGGACTACAAGTGCATTCTGCTATGGCCTGCTATTTAGGATTTTTGTTAGGGGGCACTATGGTTAGATTTGCTAGGGTTAGTATATTCTGTACGACTTAAGTCATTTGCTGGAAAAGACAGTTAGGCCAGGTAATAATGGGAATAGTCTTTTTATCGACCAATAATGCTTTTTCAAGAAATAAAAATAGTAGGTGAATAATTTTTGTTCAAAGAGATGGAACATAAAAACATATTTTGAGATTTTGTTAAGGTTGTGTGTAACTAATGATGCTAAAGAGCCATATGCGCTTTTTATTGATTGACTGATTGTGCAGGACCTGCTTTGTTGCCTAGGCTGGAGTGTAGTGGCATGATCATAGCTCACTGCAGCCTTGAACTCCTGGGCTCAAGTGATCCTCCCACCTCAGCCTCCTGAGTAGCTGGGACTACAGGCATGTGCTACCATGCCTGGCTAATTTTTTATATTTTTTGTAGAGATGGTGTCTTGCCGTGGTGACCAGACTGGTCTTGAACTCTTGACCTAAAGTGATCTGCCTCCCAAAGTGCTGGGATTACAGGTGTGAGTCACGAGCATGGCCTCCATTTATTTAATTGGAAGACACTAGAATATAAAGATTAATTTTAAGTTTAAGAAGTTATGTGGGGCTGGGCGTAGTGGCTCACGCCTGTAATCCCAGCACTTTGGAAGCCAAGGCAGGCGGATCACTTTAGGTCAGGAGTCTGAGACCACCCTAGCCAACATGGCAAAACTTCATCTCTACTAAAAGTGTAAAAATTAGCTGAGCATGGAGGCACAGCTACTCTGGAGGCTGAGGCAGGAGAATTGTTTGAGCCTGGGAGGTGAAGGTTGCAGTGAGCCAAGATCGCACTACTGTACTCCAGCCTGGGCAACAAGTGAGACTCTTGTCTCAAAAAAAAAAAAAATTTTAAATAAGTAAATAAATAAAAATAAAAAAGAAGTTATGTGGCCAGTCTTAAGACTCTTGCCAGAACAAGAATCTGACAAATGGTTTTAAAAATGTATCTAAAAGACGCAAGTATATTTTTAATTTACTCTCCTGATAGCTTGGAATCTGTTTATGAGTAACGTTGGTTTCTTTTAACAGATTGCCTGGAATGGAAAAACTAGTGATATATTTTTTATCTTCCATAAGGACTGACAGAGTGTATTAAAATATAATTATCAAGACACTTCTTTGTTGAACATAGAAATTACATAGTCTACATGATCATTTAGTTACTGTTGAACACATTTCCTGAGTATATTCTAGCTTAGGGAGCTTAATAAGTGCTTGATAATTGAGACAAGGGACCTGGCTTAGAAACTCAGTGAATTTACCGGGTGGTAATTCCTTTGAATTATGATGAAGAGACATAGACATTTGGGGCTTTTTGTTTTTTTCCAAATTGAGAAGGAATAGGGCAGAGCCACGTTTTCTCATTTGTGGCCATCATTTTTAAACAGCTGAGTGGGGTTGGGGCAGTCCCTGGCCAAGGCATGGAGCTGTGCTAACCAACCCACATGCTGATGTAGAACAAGTGCACATTGGAGTGGTCTTGACATTTTGCTAATGTTGAAGTCATGCCTTATCTTTTTGGCTCTAAAAGGAGAAAATTACCAAAGCCCCATTGTTCTTTGGCAGCAAAGAGGGTAATTTGGTGAATACTGGTGTTTTACTCTCAGGGACACTATCAAGTGCCCAGAATTTCCTTGGTGCTCTTTGGAACATAGAAGAAAAACTGACTGAGGCATTCTTGAGTTCCTTTGTGGTGTGTGAACTATAATATTCATGAGATGCTTACGCTTCCCAAAGTGACAGGGAAGAAACTCTTTGTTTCTTCTGATTCCACTGGAAGAGAGTGGATAGGACTCAGGACTTTTTGGAGTAGAGTTAATGATTCATCTCGTTTGTGAGATAGATAGGGCTTGAGTAGTGAGTATCCCTTTGGGACATTTTTTTGGGGGAAAGTGAGAGGCAGCATGCTTCATTTTTATACACAGTGATTGAGGTCATTGAATAATAGATTATGTGTTGCAAACATTAAGCACTATAAACCTTGTATGTCAGCTGCTATATGTCATACATATATATTTTACTGTATTCAGTTTCAATATGTGTGTATGACTAATATCTTCATTAACAGATTTTCTTTTTTGTTTTTTTTTGAGACAGAGTTTTGCTCTTGTTGCCCAAGCTGGATTGCAGTGACATGACTTTGGCTCACCGAAACCTCTGCCTTCCGGGTTCAGGTGATTCT